TCTGCGCCTGCTTGGTTGGCTGCTTTGACGCGTCGTCCTCCATCTTTGTCGGACTCGCGAGCTTCATCAGCGGCGGCGCCACCATCAGAACCGTCTTCCAGAGCTACGCCGCCTGTCCCGCGACCTTTGCCCTCCTCGCCCTCTCCCTCTGGCCCGCCGCGCCAGTCTCGGCGCCCTTTGAAGCCGTCGCCTCGACCGACGCGCCGATCGGGTCCGACCTCTCACGCCGGGGCGTGAGGGCGCAGATGCTGACCCTGGAGTTTGTCCTCTTGACCCTCACCGTCTGCGTGACGATGATTTGCATCAACTTTTTCATAGCCACATCCTTGTCGCAGATGACCGAGGCGAACCCGGACGCGGCAATTCAGCTGACAAAGGCCTTCTCGATCATCCTCCCCTGCGGAGCTATCGTCTACACGCCGGTGATTGGAAGCCTCGTGGACCGCATCGGCCCCACCAAAGGATTCGTCGTGCTGTGGTTTGCTTACCTGGCCTTCCAGCTGCTCCTGGCCATCCATGCGGCCACCGGGTACACCGACGCGGCGTGGGGCGCGCCTTGCCGTAGCCCGAGCCGATGTCTAGGAAGGAGGACCACGGGCCTGGCAGCAGGATGGCAAGAGTGAGAGGAGGTACAAGAGCGAGGTCGAGGAAGGGAGGGCGCACGACACCGAGGTCCCACAGCACGCCCCACCCGTCCGGCTTGAGCTCGCGCAGCACGAGCTCGCGCCTGCCTCGCGGACCGACGCGTGTGAATCGACGCGCTCACGCTCACGCCCCGCGCATCAGCCGCGCGCACAGGTGCTGCAGCGCGAGGCCGATCCGGTGCACGGAGCCCATCGTCGCCTCGCCGTACCCCTCCGACCCGAGCGCGCCGCCGCCGAGGCCGAGCACGCGCTTGCCCTGCCGCTCCGCCGCGCCGCTCTCGCCGAGCTCCGCGCTGTCCTCGCCCGCCGGCTGCAGGCGATCCTCCACGTGCCGGTTGCGCACGCGGTGCTTGCCGCCGATCTCGACGGCGCCGTGCACGCTCTCGTAGTCCGAGGAGAGGCCCCAGTCGAGGTACGACTCGCGGTCGACGATGCGGTAGACCGCCTGGAGGTGTCGACTGGAGGTGTCGACTGGAGGTGTGCGCCACCGAGCTCAGCCGAGCTCTGCCACTAGAGGTGGGCCGAGGCTGGGTGAGGTCGGCAGGGGCGGCACGGCGCGCCTTGAGGTGCGTCAGGTAGACAGGTAGGATAGGAAGTGTCTAGGAGGTGTCTAGGAGGTGTCTAGGAGGTGTCTAGGAGGTGTCTGGAGGTGTCTAGGAGGTGTCTAGGAGGTGTCTAGGAGGTGTCTAGGAGGTGTCTAGGAGGTGTCTAGGAGGTGTCTAGGAGGTGTCTAGGAGGTGTCTAGGAGGTGTCTAGGAGGTGTCTAGGAGGTGTCTAGGAGGTGTCTAGGAGGTGTCTAGGAGGTGTCTAGGAGGTGTCTAGGAGGTGTCTAGGAGGTGTCTAGGAGGTGTCTAGGAGGTGTCTAGGAGGTGTCTAGGAGGTGTCTAGGAGGTGTCTAGGAGGTGTCTAGGAGGTGTCTAGGAGGTGTCTAGGAGGTGTCTAGGAAGTGCGCCTTGAGGAGCGCGGACTCGTAGTCGCGCCCGAGCGTCACCTCGATGGACGAGACAGGGAAGCACGCGCGCGAAGCGCCCCACTCCTGGCAGTGGCACGCGGGGGGGGGGGGGGGGGGGGGGTCACGGCGATCCGTCCCGGAAAGGGGGGAGGGCGAGGCGCCGCTCCTCCTCTGCAGTCTGGGATCAGTCTGGGAACTGTCTGGGAAGTGTCTAGGAAATGTCTAGAGGCGCCGCTCCTCCTCCTCCTCGGCAGCGGGCTCGCGCTGCCGCGAGCGCTGCACCAGCAGCCCGAGCGACTTTGCCTTTTGGCGCTCCTTGTGATCGAAGCGCTCGTTTGCCTGCGAGCGGGGGTTGGACGCGTCAGGGGCGTGCCTCCTCCCCTCCCTGCCTGCGCCCCTCGCGACTGCTCGCTGCGCCTCGGTCGCGAGTGCAGTGCCGTCGAGGAGTCCGACGACCTTGCCGCCCTGCACCTGGAAGCGGTCCGAGACGCAGACGCACTTGACGCCGTAGTCGCGCTGCAGCGTGAAGACGTACTCGCCGTCGGGGATGGCGGCCGGCAGACGCGAGAAGGAGATCTCGCCGCGCCGCTGGTTCTGCGTCAGCGTCTTGAAGGCGAGCCTCGCCTAGGAAGTGTTTGGAAAGTGTCTGGGAAGTGTCTGGGAAGTGTCTGGGAAGCGTCTTGAAGGCGAGAATCGCCTGAGTGGGAGAGTGTGGGAGACTGACTGGGGGAGTGTGGGAGAGTGACTGGGGGAGTGTGGGAGAGTGTGGGAGACTGACTGGGAGAGTGTGGGAGAGTGACTGGGGGAGTGTGGGAGAGTGTGGGAGACTGACTGGGAGAGTGTGGGAGAGTGACTGGGGGAGTGTGGGAGAGTGTGGGAGACTGACTGGGAGAGTGTGGGAGAGTGTGGGAGACTGACTGGGAGAGTGTGGGAGAGTGACTGGGGGAGTGTGGGAGAGTGTGGGAGACTGACTGGGAGAGTGTGGGAGAGTGACTGGGGGAGTGTGGGAGAGTGTGGGAGACTGACTGGGAGAGTGTGGGAGAGTGACTGGGGGAGTGTGGGAGAGTGTGGGAGACTGACTGGGGGAGTGTGGGAGACTGACTGGGAGAGTGTGGGAGACTGACTGGGAGAGTGTGGGAGAGTGACTGGGGGAGTGTGGGAGACTGACTGGGAGAGTGTGGGAGAGTGACTGGGGGAGTGTGGGAGAGTGACTGGGGGAGTGTGGGAGAGTGTGGGAGACTGACTGGGAGAGTGTGGGAGAGTGTGGGAGACTGACTGGGAGAGTGTGGGAGAGTGTGGGAGAGTGTGGGAGAGTGCGCCTTGCCGCTCGAGACCTCGCCGTAGGTGTCTAGCCAGGTGACGGCGTGGGCGGGGAAGAGTCCGACCCAAGAGGAGGTGTCGCCCGGGTTGGCGGGCGGGTACGTCCAGCCCACCTGCGGACGGGTCCGGGCAAGTCGCTGGGAAGGCGCTCTGCTTCGCTCCCGGGAGGCGCTCGGCGCTCAGCGGCAGGAGAGCCCGCGGCGGGGCGAGGGAGGCGAGGGAGGCGGCGAGCGGGGCGGAGAGGGGGTGGGTGCGGCGGCGGGCGGGTGCGTGTAGCCCACGAGAAGAAGTGTCTCGGCAGTGTCTCGGCAGTGTCTCGGCAGTGTCTCGGCGGTGTGTAGGAGGTGTCTCAGCCGGGTCTGGGGGAGGGTGCCCGCCTTGACCGCGGTGGGCGAGCCCCACGTGAGCGTGAGCTGGTAGAGGGTGAGGTCGTCACTCACGAGGGGGGTGGGGCCCCTGCGGGCGAGGGGGAGGGGAGGAGTCTCGAGGGGAGGGGGGGGGGGGAGGAGTAGGCGCCTCTCCACGCGCCAGTGTGTGCCTGTGTGGTGGCGGGAGGGGGGAGGGGGGAGGGGGGTGGTGGCCACCCCTCGGCACGTCCCGCGTGAGACGTGCAGGAGCGGGCTCTGGAGGAGTGCCGGAGGAGAGCCGAGGCGGGGTGCGGGGGGCAGCGAAGTGTCGCGAGGAGGCCGGGCGGCGGGGATGGCGGCGGCGAGCGCATCGGTGGGCAGGGCGGCGGCGGCACGGGCGATGGTGGAGAAGGCGACGGCGGTGGCAGCGGTGTGTGCGGGCGAGAAGTCTCTCGGAAGTGTCTCGGAGCGTTGCCCCGCCACGCACCAGTTCTCCGCGGCGTCGCACCGCACGCACCGCCCCTCGCGGTCGAGGCCGAGGGCCCACTCCGGCGGACGCATCAGCGGCAGCTTCTCCCCCACCAGTTCGACCACCAGCTGCCGCTTGGGCGGAGGAGGACCGCGCAGCTTGGCGCGCGCGACCGCCTTTAGCTTGAGGTCGGTGTGCTTGCGCTTGCGGCGCGCCTGCGGGGGGGGGGGGGGGGGGACAGGCGACAGTGAAATGCGGCGAGGGGAGCGGCCCAAAAGAGGCGGGTGGCGGTGTGAGGCGGTGTGTGAGGCGGTGTGGGAGGAGGACGGCAAAAGAAGGGAAAAAAAGGGGTCTGTGGCGGCAAGGGCAGCGCGCCGCGTCCCGCGCTCGCTTGACGAACTCCCCAACGGTGCGCGAGCCCCCGGCGGCGGACGGGTTGAAGGGGGGGATAGCGTGGCTCCAGTCCACCTCCTCCGCCGCCGCCGCCTTTGGGTTCCCTTTCCGGGCGATCTCCTTTTGTAGCTTTGCAGTCTTTTCGAGCAGCGTCTTTGGCAAAGGGGAGGGAGGGCCAATGAGGCTGCCGGAGGAGGGCAATTGGCGCGCAGGGCGGCGCTGCCGCGGTGGGACGGGGCGACCCTGAGGGACGGGCAGTGAGATGCGGAGGGCGGAGGTGTCGGCAAATGGGCGAGTGGCACCAGCAGCGCCTCCCGCTTGAGGTCCTCGGTGTCGCCGTCCTCGTAGATGACGCGGAAGCCGCTCTCGCGGTCAAAGTCGGTCACGCGCCCGTGGAAAATGCCGTGGCCTGCCAGGGCAGAGGCAGAGAGAGCGTCGTGCAGAGGAGGGGTGATCGAGCCAGCCACCGGCGCTGCCTTCCACGCGCACCTTTGAACTGCTTCATGACTTTGACGCCGAGGTGCTCCATCGCGACCGATCTGGTAACGGGGCTGGATCGGTTAGGGGCAAGAGGAGCCAAGCGCGTAGAGCGCGCGATATCGTTGCTTCGCGGCAAAAGCGAAAAGAAAGTGTCCGTACGCCACCGGCCAAAAGCGCATCTCTTGAAGGTCCGATACTGGAAGCCCATATAGGCACCTTACACTCCCCCGCAGTATCGCACCTCTTGAGCGACACTACGTTTCCTCAGCTGGGGATTCTCCGGGTACCCCTCTTTGTACCCGTGCTGGCCGGATTCCTCCTCCGAACAACTCAAGTTCGATCGGCCCCAGTCTCGAACTGGCAGCCACTATCTCACCGGAGGTACCATATCCGAGGAGGCCACCGGCCAAAAGCGCATGTCTTGAAGGTCCGATACTGGAAGCCCATATAGGCACCTTACAGAAAGACGACCCGGGTGGGAATAGGACCGCCGAAGCGGCGGGCCCCTCTGCGCCGGGAAGGCGTTGTCGGAGGCTAGGACGCAAGCGTCCGTCGCCCTTTTTCAAACTCGGGGCCCACTCCGCATCTCCGACTCCGCTACGGGCCGTAGGCTACGCTCCGACCCGAATTTGGAGGGCCTAAAAGTTTAAGGTGTTGCTGCGCAAAAGGGGGAAACCGCGGCGGCGCTGCAGAGTATCTGCGTCTGCGCGGGTAGATAGAGCCCTTTTGCGCGGTATTAACGCACACACCACGACAGCCCCGCAAGGCGCGCGATACACACAGCTAGAAGTCAGTCACCGTCCTCCAGGCGGGGGGTCACAGAACACCGAGTCCATAAAGCTAAGCTCCTCCTCGCCTTCAGGCTCAGCAAGCTGCATCGACACCGGCCCATCAGCGGTTAGACGGGGGAGAGAGGATCATCTGAGCTGGAGCTAGCGGCGGCGGCCGAGCTAGCGGTGCGAGGGAGGGGCGCAGGGGGAGGAAGCGAGCAAGGCGGGCGAGACGGGCCCTGCCAGAAGAGAGCCAGACTCGAGAGAGTGCGGAAGCGTTTTACGCCCACCTCGCACCTGCGTCCTGTCTCGTCGGACACAACCCGCACTTCCCCACTGGCCACACATTGACTCACACAAACTATAGAAAAATTAATAACTGCCGTGGGCATTGAACCCCGCCTTGTGCGACCCCGGCTCAACCGCGGACCGAACTCGCCGACGCCACAGGGTCCATCGTTGCCGTCGCCTTCGGCGAGTTGGCACCTCGATGGAGCTAACCAGCCAGGTATGGTTGGTGCGGACGCGCGGCTTGACCTCCCCACCGTTGAGGACCAGCCCGTCCTGCCACGGGATTGCGGTTGTCGTGACGAATCCCTCGGGTGTTGAGCCAGCGCTCGACCACGCGTCCTCGTAGCTGTCATAGACGTAAGCCATCTTGGGATAGCCGGGATTGTCCGGGCTAACCATCCCGAAAATGCGCGCCGTCGTCCCCGCCCATTGTGAAGATCCGATTGTTCAGGACGCCTACCGTGCCAGCCATGACGACAGCCGGGAGGCTTGCGCAACGCTCCCAAGCAGCCTCCGAGCGTGACGGCCACATCTGCAAAGAGTGGCGAGGCGTGCGCAATGAAGCGGATTCGACATGCGCTGAATCATTGAGCTTCCAACAGTCTTTGAGAAATTCGGGCTTGCGTCCCTCATCTTGCCGACGGCCGCTCATCATGTATAGTGAATTTGCGTGCACGACTGCCAATGAGAGTTTGCGCGCCGTTGGCAACGGCGGTCCGGCGCGCCACTGGCTAAGCTGTGCGTCGAGGACCCAGACGTTGGTCGTGGCGTTTGGACCGGTGCCAGTGTCCCCGCCGAGCACCCAGAGTTCTCCTCCGAGCACGGCGGATGAAGCAAATGCCGTCGGCACGGGCATCGATGGCAGCGGCCGCAGCGCTGTCAGGTCGCACGGAATAGCAAAGGTGTTGTTGATGATGCCGTCCGGCGTCTGGCCTCCGGCGCAGACGACCTGCCCACTGATCGAACCGCAAGCAGCGTACGCCGTAGGCGCTGGCAGCACTACGCTGCTGAGCTCCCAGGTCCAGGAGATATCACCACCCAGCGTCCACACCCTGTCGTCAAAGTGCTTGGTGCTTGTCCAGGTGGGGAATGGGAAGTTGCTGCCTCCCGCAAAGACGAGCTTGTCGTCGCAGCCGCCGGACAGCGCTCCCGCAAAACCGAGCGGTTCAGGAAGGTCGGGAAGCTGCGTCCAGTTCAGCGGAGAGGAGGTCGCGAGAGAGAGGAAGAGAGAGAGCGCACAAGCCGTGCAACTACTGGGCAGCTCCTGTGCACTTCTTCGACCGCGCACGATTTTTGCCGATCCCTCGAGAGTTCACGCGGAGTAGGCTGGGGTATACTCGAGCTGGCTGTGTGTCTTGTGAGCCTGTTTGTGTCTGTGTGTCGCTCGTGCGTGTCGTCATCATCTGTCCAGCGTCCACCCATACCGCGTTGGTGTCCAGTCCGAGCCTGGCTGTTCTTCACCTTTCTACCTACCTACCTATACTCGAGTAGCAGACAGTGCCCAGCATGCTTGCTATAGTATACAAAGAGAAAATCCAGATAAAATCAGCCTCCGAGGAGGTCTTGCCACTTGCGGCGCAGCCGCACGTCTAGAGAGAGATTTGAAAAAACCAAGGCTGCGAGGGCTTGGAAGCGTGAGGCAGCGGGCGCGGGCCAGCAGAAAGGCCGGCGTTCAGGGCGGCGGGCTCTGCTCCGCAGGATTTGCGGGCCGGGAGGCACGCAGCACGTGCGCCACCCTCCGTGTCCCGGCGTGCACACCGGCTGTGGAAGAATTTACACCCCCGGTGGACCTTGCCCAGCCCCCCTCCGTGTCGCGATCTCCCGCTCCCGTTCCCCTGTGTCCCTGATCGTCCTTACAAGATCCTGCTCGCGCAGGTGGGGACCCTGTCCTTCTCCCACCCCTTGTTTGGTGTGTCCGTTTTATTTATTTCGTGCTGGACCGCCTTTCGTTGTAAAAAAAATCCCCTCCGACAGACAAAAACTTGGCCGCTTTGTGTATCTCGAGACCTCGAGAGAAGGCCGCCCGCAGGCCTACTCGAGGGGCTTGCAATTGGCTTTCTTTTGGCGGGCAAAAACCGCCAGAAAAAGAATTTTACCCAGGACTCCCTCGCACGACACTGGGCACGGGACTGGCGCGCACTGGCACTAGCATAGGTACACCACGGGAGCCGCCTAAGCGACTCCTGCGAGGGCGGCGAGGCACTTAGCTCCGTGCACCCGCCCGCCCCCGCCACAGGCAAGCTCATTCACAACCTGCTCTGCGATTGCCGTGTGAAGAACGACCGAGATACGCTGCTTCGATACGCTGCTTCTGCAGCCCCAGCCAATTCTTAGTGGTCCAGGTCACCTCATCGATGTACTGGACCCGCGTCAGCTTGTTCTGTAGCACGTCCGCCGCCTTCCGGATCTAGGGTACCCAGGCTCCGGGCCGGTGTGCGGGGAGCGAACCTTAACGACCGCTCAGAAGCTTTCTGAGCAAACCAATCGGGCCAGGATCATCAGCATATGTCCCCTCCACAACATCGTGGGCGTTTGAGCCGTATTTGAGGAGAGCACCGCGACTCTGAAGTTCGGCCGGGTGGTCTGCAGACCCCTCCCCCGGAGCAGCAGAGGCTCCGTGGGGTCACAAAGTCGACGCTGGGAGTCGCACTCGTCAAACCGTCGCAGCACCACGCGGTCCGCACGTACCGCCCATATCCCCTCCACCGCTGAGAAGGCGCAGATCGACCGCCGGGCCGCGTAGTCGTCGTTAAGGAGCGGTTTTTGGAGCCGTACGAAGGGGTCCAAAACGGGCGAACATGCGGGTTTTTGACGACCACACGCGATGTGGTATCTGCTTTTTGCTAAAAACGGGCCGCCTAGTGCAGCATCACTAGTACAACACGCAACCACACTGAGAGCTCCACACTAGCCGGTATAGGCGAGCACCGTGGGCTTGCGGCGGGCTTGGTTCAATTTTTGTGAAAAAAAATGTACAGAAGGCGCCCACCACAGCGGGTCCGGCGAGCACACCGGCTGTGGAAGCAGGGACATGTGTCCGCAAGCAAAGAACTGGAGCACTGGAAGCGGCGCTTCTTTGTGCTTGACGGCATTACGTGTAGAGAGAGAGAGATTAAGTCTGGGCTACTGACTATGACAAAAACTCTAACTATGCAGGTGGACGACGTTTGCGAGCGCCGTGAGCACCGAGGCGATCGCGCGCCTACTTGCCAGGGCTAGGCAAGCTGCTGGAAGAGCGGCTGCCGCCAAAGGTCATTCATCGAGATCGACGGCGAGGGGCCCCGCGTGGCACAGAGATGGAGGACCGCGCCGACGAGGGGATGGGGCCGCGTAACAAGCGCGTGATCGCCGCGATCGAGGAGGCTGCCTTCGCGGGCAAGGGCGACAAGCCGGTGGTCGTCGAGTTGTACCGTGACTACGCGGCCAAGGTGAACAAAGCGCTGTTTCACTCGGGCGAGGTAGTGAAGGGGGAGTACGAGGGCGAGTTCAAGGCAGGTAGGCCTGAGGGGCGCGGCGTCATGCGCTGGCCCGACGGCGACGTCTACGAGGGCGAGTTCAAGGCAGGTCGGCCGGAGGGGCGCGGCGTCTACCGGCTCGCCAACGGCGACGTCTACGAGGGCGAGTTCAAGGCAGGTAGGCCGGAGGGGCGCGGCGTCTACCGGCTCGCCAACGGCGAAGTCTACGAGGGCGAGTTCAAGGCAGGTAGGCCGGAGGGGCGCGGCGTCTACCGGCTTGCCAACGGCGACGTCTACGAGGGCGAGTTCAAGGCGGTGAGATGGATGGGCGCGGCGTCATGCGGTCCGCCGACGGCGACGTCTACGACGGCGAGTGGAAGGCGGGTGAGAGGGAGGGGCGCGGCGTCTACCGGTTCGCTGACGGCGACATGGATGCGGGCTTCGTGAAGGGTACACCCGTCGGCGAGGGCGTCAAGTGGAAGGCGGGCTGTGCGGCTGCGTGACGGGGAGGAGGTGGTAGGAGGTAGGAGATCCTCGCAGTCCCGTGCCCACCGGCTCGTGCGACAGCCAGCCGCTCTGGAACAAGGCTCGCGCTCGGCGCGTACGGCCTCAATTCGCGCCATTCTTCTTTCTGCCTAGCCGCCCTGGACCGGCTGCACGCGTGCGCGAGCGGTGGACCGTTCGCGACATGGACCGTAGGAGGTAGGAGATTCTCGCTGGAGGAGGCGCGGCAGACCGCCGAGCGGCTCGGGCTCCCGATCCCCTCCCCGCTGCCCGGCGCGTGAGAGGCAGCGCCCCCAAGACAGGTATTTCGTTTGCAGCGGGCGGCACTCGCGCGATTTCTTTGCAGCTCCAACAAAAATGGCGAGTCCTGGCACTGGCACTGGCAGCGCCACCGCAGCAGCGGCCGACGCCCTTGCAATGCGCAGCCTCTCGCTCCTCGACGCCGAGTACGAGCGCACGCTAGCAGCCTCGAGGCGGACCGCCAGCACGCCTCCGCCGGCCGACGACGAAGTCAGCGACGCCGACCACGAGGAGGAGGGCTACCAGCAGCTCCTTCTCGACGCTGACTCGGACAGTGACCCCACGGGGAGCGAGGACGGCGACGGCGAAGGCGCTGACGGCGGCGGCGGCAGCACCTCTGGAGAGGGCGGCGGCGAGGGGAGGCCGGAGGCGGCGCACTCGGCTGCGGAGGTGCCTGCCGCCGAGTTGCGCGCGGCGCGTCCGGCCGCCGCCATTGACGCGCCGCTCGTCAAGCGCCTGATGGAGGGGATCGGCGCACCTCCCACCCCGGCGTGGGCGAGCCTGGTGAACGAGGAGGAGTGGAGAGCGCGGCTCGTGGCCGCCGCCGGCGGCGGCGCGGACGCCGAGGCGTCCCGCGGCTCGGCGAGCGGGCGCGCCGTTGCGGCGTGCGGGCTCGCCACCTCTGGCGAGGGACCGGAGGGCCGTCCTTGCTAGGATGGCTCGCTTTTCTCTTGCACTACTGCACGAACTATCTAGAGCCAGACACATCTCTGTGCCACTTGGACGGGCGGCCTCTCTCCCTCATTCGTCTGGCACTCGGTCATCTATCGCTCTCGGGCGGCTTTCGCATCCTAGCGTTGGTAGCGTGGTTTTACCTCACACCCATGGTTTGCGCACAATGCATGCCGGTAGTCGCCGAGCAGTGTGTCGCTCACACACACTGAGCGATTCTAAGATCAGGCCTGCCATTGGGCGAAAATCGGCCGTCCCTCAGTGCTTCCAGCCTGCCCGCTTCAGTTTCCTCAATTGGCTCGAATTTTGCTTGTAGAAAAAAGAATAGCGCCGATCGCGGGCCGCCGGAGCGGGCATTTCGAAGTGGTCAGCGGGCATTTCGAAGTGGTGCGGCGGCAGGCTGCCACCGCTGCCCGGGCGCCCCGAGCGGCGGCGGAGGGCCGCCCAGGCCACCACCAGTGCCCCTCCCACCGGCAGCGCGGCGGCAGCGGCGCCGACCGCCCCTCCATCAGCGGTGGCGCGACGGCTGTCGTCGGGGCGCCGGCAGGTGCCGCGCGCAGAGGGTGCCACCGGACCGGCCGACGCGCGCCCGGCGGAGCCTTCGTCGTGCATGGCGGGCCGAGCACCCCCGCGTCGCTTCTCGGCGCATTGGAGAGCAGAGGAAGCTGCTGGCGTCGCCGCTGGGATCGGCGGCGGCGCCAGCAGCGTTCTCGGATCTGAAGCCGACTTTGAGCGCCGATCGATCGATCTGAGGGCTGGCCGATGGGTGGCGCTGGGACATCGCCGCCGCCGCGGAGGCCGGCGGCGACCAGAGGAGCGGTTGGGGCGCGTGGCGCATATGTTACCTGCCAAGTGAGCATTCAAGTGTGCTTCGAGATTTATTCGAGATTTGTAACTTAGATTTTCGTTTCCAGCGGGGAGGTGGCAGACCTGATCTTAGAATCGCTCCACTGAGTGTGTCGCTCACACACACAAGCGCCGCAGCAGTGCGCCGTCCTCAGCGCACAGAGCGGACACAGTTTGTTCACGAGTGTGCACCTCCACCTGCACGACACCCCTGTCCCCTCCCTCCCTTCCGACCACCGCCTGTACAACGTACGTAGCATGCGCCTGCTAGCAGTGTGCGCCCCTCGCCTTGTGCACGACATACACGACTGCGGCGTCTCCTATACCGTTCCTAGCGTGCGCACGCACGCGACGCGCAGCCTCTCTGGCGGCTGCCGTCTCAGCCTCTCGGCTCACTCGACCAGGGCGTACGTCGGCGTATTCCCAAAGGCAGGCGACTTCACCGCCAAGGAGTGGTTTCCGCTGTCGAACGAGTCGAGGACGTCGTACGCGTCGTTGCCCTCGTCGACGGCCAGGCCCACGTGCCACCAGATGACGACGAGCACGGCATTGCACGCGGGGATGACAAAGTTGTCCGTCGAGCGGAAGGCGATGGTCTCGGTGATGGTGGTGAGGACCGCGATGGCTGCGGCCAGCCCCCACGCGGCCGGGATCGCGCACGGGTCCGCGGCGCCGGTGCCCAGCACAATCAGCCCGGGGATGAGCGACCCGAGGAAGACGGCGGCGCAGCCCTCGAGCGACTTCTCGTTGATCTCGCCGAGGCCCTTCACCTTGAAGCGGTGCCGGCCGAAGGGGGTGCCGATGATCTCGCCCATCGCATCCCCGTACGTCAGCGGCAGCAGCACCAGCTGCGTCGCGAGCGCCCACAGCTTCTCCGCATCCTCCTGCGGCGGAAGGCCGAGCAGCGCGATGCCAGCCGAGGCGACGATGCCCCACATCATGGACGTCGAGCCCATCATCGCGTTCTGCTGCCCGAGCCGCCCGTCGCGGATGCGGTCGGCGGCGCCGAATAGCCACGAGAGCCACCACCAATGCCCGCGGTGCGCCGCGCCGCGGAAGAGGCTGATGGCGATCGCCTGCACCATGACGAGGAGAACCGAGCAGAGCGAGACGGAGAGCACGAGCGCGCCGAGGTCGTCCACCACGAACGCGTTGAAGATGATTGTGGAGGTGAGCGTAAAGACGTGCCCGCCCTTCCGGAAGAGAACGTCGCAAACCTTGATGCGCGTCTTGGTGCGCGGGTCCGCAAGCAGGTTCGGAAGCCAGTCTTGCGGCAGGCTCAGGCGGGTTCCGACGATGTCGGTGATCTCCGCATCGCTAAGTCCGACCGCGCGCCGCAGGTAGAGGACCCGAAGGAGGCAGAATATCGGGCGCCGCACAACCTCGCCGCCAATCAAAAAGGCGACGCCGACACCAAACTGGTCCCAGTCGACCGGTAGGGCGCCTGAGAGACAAGAGAGTGGCTGAGAGCAAAGGTGCGAGGACTCTGAGGCTGGGGGCGGCTGTCGCCTGATAGGATTGCGGCAACCGGTCCCGACAGCTGGATGAGGGAGAGGAGAAGGAGGAGAAGCAGCGAGCAGTTGATCGTGGGCGTGGAGCACGTTGGCCCGGAGCACTTGATGGGCTCCGCCTTCGAAAAGATTGCGGAGAGGCGCATCGACGCTCTGGCAGAGCCGACGCCGCCCATGGATCAAAGTAGGCTGATGGGATTTTGACGTGCCGAATCCTCAACGAGCAGCCCGCCCTCAGCCCCTTATATACCCGAGGAAGCCACCTGCCAAAAGCGCATGTCTTGAAAGTCCGATACTGGAAGCCCATATAGGCACCTTACACTCCCCCGCAGTATCGCACCTCTTGAGCGAAACTACGTTTCCGCAGCTGGGTGGGTGGGGATTCTCCGGGTACCCCTCTTTGAGAGAGAGATTTTTAGCAATACCAAACAACTCTAACACTTTGTACCCGTGCTGGCCGGATTCCTCCTCCGAACAAATCAAGTTCGATCGGCCCCAGTCTCGAAGTGGCAGCCACTATCTCACCGGAGGTACCATGTCCGAAGAGGCCACCGGCCAAAAGCGCAACAAAACAATCATTGTGAGTGTTAGAGTTGTTTGGTATTGTGTCGCCAAGGTCCGTCTCGCCGATTGTCACATCGCACGCAACGTAATGGACTCCTGCGTTCAGCCTTCTGAAGGCTACAGAGTGGCTCACGCCTGCCGGGACCGTGAGGCAGTAGCCGATTTTGCGCATGCCATCTGTCTCCAGCGTCCACCTCGGAATAATGGGTCTAGCGTCCCACTCGGAAGCGGGAGATGCTGCATCAGCAGGCAGAAGGCAGTTTGGCCGGAGGCGAATATTCTCGCCATGCTCCAACTGAACGCTCACGCGACCCTCCGAGAGAGCGTGGCGCTAACAGCGGCCTCACGTCCGTTGAGCTCAGGGCGGCTCTGGATGCCGCGCAGAATGACCTTGCGGCCCTCAGGAAGCATCGTGCTGAGCAGATGCAGCAGGGTGCCCTCTCGATCTGATGCTCCGGCGAGCGCATCCGTCATCCTGTCCTGCTCGGGCTCGGCGAGGCTCGCCAAGAATGCATGAGCAGGCGCACATCGCTTCCAGGGAGGGGGGCGCACTTCTACTCACACCACATGCTAGGGGGGGGGTCCGACCCCCCCCAGAGGCTTCACCACATGCTAGGGGGGGGTCCCGACCCCCCCAGCACCTTCACCACATGCTAGGGGGGGGGTCGTGGCCGAGGACCCCCCCAGAGACTCGTGGTCAGACCCTCCGGGCCCTTGATTTTACGCCTCATTTCGAGCATTTTCGAGGGGGAAATCATCCTTTGGAGCTATATGAGCCTTGAGACTGGTCAGATTCTCCAAGATAGTGGACTTTCAGCCACGATTTCACAACTTTGGGGGCCAAAATCGGATCTCTGGTGGCTATTCCTAGCCCACGAACTGCTGGGGGGGTGCCCACCACATGCTAGGGGGGGGGGGGTGGCTGGGGCGTGAGTAGAAGTGCGCCCCCCTCCCTGGAAGCGATGTGCGCCTGCTCCATCGAACGTGGACTCGAGTGCCATGATGAGAGTCGATGGAGAGTGCCATCATCCCATCAAGATCAGGAGTGATTCAGAGGTTTTCACAGTCTCTTTGGTTTAGGGAGCTGCCCGTCACCTTATGGCGCCGACGCGGCGGCCGACCCTACTCCCGCGGCGTAGCGCTGTAACTGCCGCCGAGGACTTTCACATGTGCGAGAGACCCGCGCCTAGCCAGCTGCTGCGCGCGCGGTGTGTCGCCAACTTAGTGGGCCCAGCTCACCCATGGCTCACCCGAACTCGCCGCAGACGGGCGCCAGGGCTCAGCGCCTCAGCAGCGCCCCCGCACCCGCACGCCAGTCGCCAGCACGCGCCCCTGAGTGCTTCAGGAGTCACGCACCCCGGAGTTGACCTTTACAATGATAGGCCGATAGAGTGTTAAGTCGGTGTTGCCTGATGAGCCATTGAGCGACACTCAGATCGCTCCATGAGTCCATCAAACTGAACAACAAAACGTGAACCGCGCCATTCGCTCTCACCTGGCAACCCTGTCTGCACGTCTCGCGCGCGCGTGAACAGGGCTCCAGGCCCCAAATGACGTGTGAGTGTTAGAGTTGTTTGGTATTGGCTGCCCCTGCACGGCGACCCATCGCGTTGGCGGTCTGCGCAGCAAGCTTGGCCGCCTTCGCCGATCTCTCTCGCTCTGCCGCCGCTGCCGCGTCCACGGGGCGGTCCGTCGCGGGTCGTCGCGCAGCCGCCCGTCGGCGTCGGCAGCCTCACTCATGGCAGCGTCGGCAGCCTCGCTCATAGGGAGCGCAGAGACCTGAAACGGTCCGTCGACAAATTCGAAACGCCCGCCGAATTCGAAACGTGCGCCGCTCCCGCCGATCTCCCGCTAACGGATCTTACCCGCCTGTAACCTCTCTTTAAGGTATTGCTAAGAAAGCGCATGTCTTGAAGGTCCGATACTGGAAGCCCATATAGGCACCTTACACAGCGTCGTAGAAATTTCAACTTTGGGGCAGGGACCTACATGTAGATCTAAACCACTTTGTTATGACTGGTGAAAGTGAGTATGATACCCCCTGCGCCTCCATCGCCTCGAGCATCCGCGCCTTGACCATCGAGATTGCAATCTCGCGGTTCCGCGCCTGCGACCGCTCCTGCTGGCACCGCACCACCAGCCCCGACGGAAGGTGCCTCACCCCCACCGCGCCGTCTCAACCTTGTTGACGTTCTGGCCGCCCGCGCCTCCCGCTCGGATCGTCGTCACCTCCAGGTCGGCGGGCGGGATCTCCACCCGGCCCGCCTCCTCCTCGCCCAGGAGGGGCATCAGCTCGACGCCCGCGAAGCTGGTCTGCCGCTTGTTGGCCGCGTTGAAGGGCGAGAGCCGCACGAGCCGGTGCGTGCCTACACGCGACGCGTCGGGCGCGTGTCACGGCACGCGCCAAGGGCTGCGTGAGCTACCCCTACCCCTACCCCTACCCCTGGCAGCGGCCGCGCCTCGCTCCGCCTTGAGGTGGCCGTAAGCGTACGGGCCGTCGATGGTGAGCGCCGCCGACTTGATGCCCGCCTCCTCGCCCTCGGTCCTCTCCGTCAGCGTCACGCGGTACCCGCTCGGGTGGCCCTCCGCCTACCGCCTGTACATCCGCAGCAGCATCTCGGCCCAGTCCTGCGCGTCCACCTTCATCACCAGCTTGAGCTCGTAATACCCTCCCTGCTCCTCGTTGCGCACCCACTCGACGTACTTTCCGCGACCGATGCGCTCGAGAAAGTCCCCAAAGAGCCCAACCTTGCGTTCACGATAGTCTGCCGTCCGCGCCTGAACGCCGTCTTGGTTGAAGTTCCCGTCGGTATACTGTTGCATGTCCAGCTCCCACATGAGATCGCCCGTCATATCCGGAGGGTAGGTCTCGCGACCAGGGCAAGCATCAAAGTCAGCGCCTCAACAAGGGCCCACTCCTCCCTTTACCACCGTCCGTACAAACCGCCTCTCAGCCAGACAGGTCTGCCGCTGCTCATCAACATCGAGGCCCGAGGACGCAGGCTGTTTGCCATGAAGCCGCACGGGGCCGCGCACCACCCGCTCCACCCCATACTCCTCTCTGTCTCCTCATCCGAATCAGGCAAGCGTTCCTCGGGGTCGTACTCGCCATCCTCCTCCTCTGAGGCGGCCGGGTCCCCATTTGCTCGCCCCGCATCACGCACCTTATCTAGCAGCTTCGCTCGCGCCCTCTCGCTGCGCCGCGCGAGAATGCTCGCAGCTGCCGACCCGATCTGCTGACCGGCGCCGGCATCTGGCTCGCACGATCTGCGCCCTCCACCGGAATTCGTAGGCAGCACCGGCTCAACGCCGCGCCCCCCGGTCGGTGCAAGCAGGGAATGTTCCCGCTGCTGCTCTGCTGCAGCCTCCAGTCGCGGTGCGGCCTCCGCACTCTCGGCGTTCGCCTCTCGCCCTGCTGCAGCCGTGCCCATCTCTGGCAGCCGATCGCCGATCGCCTCCTCAAAGCATGCGAGAATCTCGTCGCTCCGAAGGCGCCCGAGCACGTCGTCGGCAGCGCGGATGCTCGCCCGCACGGCCGCCGTCCGTCGCGGTCGAGGTCTCGTCTTAGTTCTGGCAGCGTCGACGCCGGCCTGCTCCCACGCTGGCCACGCATCATGCCACCGAAGGCGCTGCGGTCGAGGATCGCCGAGCGCGGCGCAGTCCGGGGAAGTACGGCGGCCATGGCCCCATGCATCCTTTACCGTGAGCTGCAGCCGTGCCCCGCCGTCATAGCGGCGAGGCGGCGGGGGGCGGGACTGTCTGTTGGGGTTGTGTCACCTGTGTCAGGGATACCTCTTCTATTCGTACACATGCTCGGCTCCACCCCTCCCTTCCGACCACCGCCTGGGTACAACGTACGTAGCATGCGCCTGCTAGCAGTGTGCACCCCTCGCCTTGTGCACGACATACGACTGCGGCGTCTCCTATACCGTTCCTAGCGTGCGCACGCACGCGACGCGCAGCCTCTCTGGCGGCTGCCGTCTCAGCCTCTCGGCTCACTCGACCAGGCCGTACGTCGGCGTATTCCCAAAGGCAGGCGACTTCACCGCCAAGGAGTGGTTTCCGCTGTCGAACGAGTCGAGGACGTCGTACGCGTCGTTGCCCTCGTCGACGGCCAGGCCCACGTGCCACCAGATGACGACGAGCACGGCATTGCACGCGGGGATGACAAAGTTGTCCGTCGAGCGGAAGGCGATGGTCTCGGTGATGGTGGTGAGGACCGCGATGGCTGCGGCCAGCCCCCACGCGGCCGGGATCGCGCACGGGTCCGCGGCGCCGGTGCCCAGCACAATCAGCCCGGGGATGAGCGACCCGAGGAAGACGGCGGCGCAGCCCTCGAGCGACTTCTCGTTGATCTCGCCGAGGCCCTTCACCTTGAAGCGGTGCCGGCCGAAGGGGGTGCCGATGATCTCGCCCATCGCATCCCCGTACGTCAGCGGCAGCAGCACCAGCTGCGTCGCGAGCGCCCACAGCTTCTCCGCATCCTCCTGCGGCGGAAGGCCGAGCAGCGCGATGCCAAACGAGGCGACGATGCCCCACATCATGGACGTCGAGCCCATCATCGCGTTCTGCTGCCCGAGCCGCCCGTCGCGGATGCGGTCGGCGGCGCCGAATAGCCACGAGAGCCACCACCAATGCCCGCGGTGCGCCGCGCCGCGGAAGAGGCTGATGGCGATCGCCTGCACCATGACGAGGAGAACCGAGCCGAGCGAGACGGAGAGCACGAGCGCGCCGAGGTCGTCCACCACGAACGCATTGAAGATGATTGTGGAGGTGAGCGTAAAGACGTGCCCGCCCTTCCGGAAGAGAACGTCGCAAACCTTGATGCGCGTCTTGGTGCGCGGGTCCGCAAGCAGGTTCGGAAGCCAGTCTTGCGGCAGGCTCAGGCGGGTTCCGACGATGTCGGTGATCTCCGCATCGCTAAGTCCGACCGCGCGCCGCAGGTAGAGGACCCGAAGGAGGCAGAATATCGGGCGCCGCACAACCTCGCCGCCAATCAAAAAGGCGACGCCGACACCAAACTGGTCCCAGTCGACCGGTAGGGCGCCTGAGAGAAAAGAGAGTGGCTGAGAGCAAAGGTGCGAGGACTCTGAGGCTGGGGGCGGCTGTCGCCTGATAGGATTGCGGCAACCGGTCCCGACAGCTGGATGAGGGAGAGGAGAAGGAGGAGAAGCAGCGAGCAGTTGATCGTGGGCGTGGAGCACGTTGGCCCGGAGCACTTGATGGGCTCCGCCTTCGAAAAGATTGCGGAGTGGCGAACCGACATGGTTCGCTTTGGCGGCGGCGCAAGCCTCAGGACAAGGATTGCGTTGACGTTTGAGGGCGTCGCATTAGATTCCGAATCTTGTGTTTTTTCATTGTATGTGGCTCTTACGTACATTCCCGGAGGAGGACTGCTGATAGGGTTTGCGATGAGGAGTGTCCCGAAGGGTTTCTCTGGGTTAGTGCACCACTAACCTAAGAGCACTGCGACGGATTTTGTTCAATTTCTGTGGTGCGCAATCTTCTCCTCGCCGTCCTAGCAAATCTTAAGACTCCCGTGGTAATCGGGGGTCCGTTAAGGATTCTTCTCTCGGGGAACTAAGAATTCTTTTTCGCAAAAACGGGTGCCCGAACAAGCTGGCGAGTAGAGACCACGCCTCACTTTTTCACACCGGGGGTCCGTCCGGAAAAAGGAGGCGTGTGACAAGTGGAGGGTTGGATCGCCGTCTTTCGGCGAGGATGGGTGTTGGAGCCCTCTTTGCTCAACATGCGGCCTGCTCTGCCGCCTCAACGAGACCGCCGCGCGCGCACGCGCTCGGCATGCCTGCTGCTCGCCTGCCGACCTGGCCAGGCCGCGCGTGGCTGGCGCCAGCTCGTCATCGCAGCGGAGCACCGGAGGCGCGGTTTGCCCGCTGCTGGCTCTCGCCCCGCCGGCGGTTCCACGTGATGCTAGCAGTTGCTGGAGCCGAAACCAGCCGGAAATGTGCCTCCTCACAGCTCCTCATGGATCTGCGAAGAGAACCGTCGAGTCCAATCAAGTCCACAGCCGGTCCGGCTCGCCCCTCGGGGGCTTCGTTCAAGCGTGCTGTGTGAGTGTTGAGGTGATACGAGCGCGCGTGGGCGCGGCGCGAGTGCCGTTTTGGGTCTCTTTTATACCAGTGATGAAATATAAACCGACTTTACCACGCGCGCGCACGCGCGCCGCGCTCCTCGACTCTCTCGCACCCGCCCCGAGCCACGCCCCTCACGAGATAGGCGGCTGCGACCCTGAGAGTGCGCAGCGGTGCCGCTGGCGTGCTCACCACACCCACCCATCATGCCTGCATCATTCCTGCACGCACTGCCCGGTCTGGCCGGGGCGTGGGGCGAGATCTGGCATGGCGGCGCGCTTGAATTGAGCGCCTTTGATCGTCTCGCGGCGACTGCTCGCAGGCCGGGCGGCCAGAAACTGTGCCGCTCAGCCATCCGCCGAAGCGAGCGCGCCGGCGGCGGTCCGCCGCCGGCGCGCTCGGCTCAGTGTCTTCAAGCCCGCCGCCGGTGGGGAGCTCCGCATGCCGCACGCCTGCTTTTCGCTGCGCATGCTCGAGCCCCTGGCGAGGGCTTGTGCTGTGAATAGCAGGCGTGGTCTCTACTCGCCAGCCGAACAAGGCTGAAACCCGAAGAGCCGCTGGGCGACATGCCTCTCGTTGCTCGAGGAAGGCTCGCGCGCAGGCCTTCCCTCGGCCGACCTCACTCGGCCGACGAGGGGTTCAAGGCCAGGGCACTAGCCTCGATCCGAAGCGAGGACTTTGTCGTCCTCGTTGCCTCCGCCGTGCTGCTCCTGGTCTGCTCCATCGCCGGCCCCATCCTGTTGCCGACGCGCGAGCAGGACCTTCCTTTCCAGATCCTCGACCTTGGCGTCACCAAAAGCGACGGATCGCCCGCAACCGTGGTCCTGCGCGATCCTTCGTACGATAAGCCGATCCTCGACGAGAAGGTTCCCAACTCAATGCTGGGCATAATCAACGTGGCTGGCGTCGTGCTCACCGGTTTCGTGGGCGGCTTCCTGCCTCAGTATGCCTTCGGAGGCCGTGGCGAAGGTATGCGCGCCCTGTCGGCCGCCTTTGTCTCTGTGGGCGTGTGCACCCTTGCGGCCGGAATCCTGCGCTCGTACTTTGGGAGCCTCCGTCCCAACTTCTTTGCTGGCTGCGGCTGGAACAACACACTGGGAGCGTGTACCACAGGCTGGAAGGGCGAACACGACGACTTGGACGAGGGACGCCGGTCCTTCCCGTCCGGCCACACAGCGTCTGCCTACTCGACCCTCTTCCTCCTCTCTCTCTGCCTGCTGCGCGTCGCGCGCGCCACTCGCGCTTCCATTCGGGCGTCGCGCGCCGCGGAGGATCACGTCGGCTGGCGCAAGCGCCTGCTCCCCGCCCTCCTCACCGTGCTGGCCGTGCTGCCGACGACGGGCGCAACTCTGATCGCAGCCACTCGGGTGACCGACTATTACCACTTCACCGCCGACGTGGTGGCCGGCGCCCTGCTAGGAGTGGCCAGCGCCGCTCTGGCGGCGGAGAGCCTGCTGCCTCACTTTGGCCTCGAGGGGTAGTCACAGGTAGCCCAGAGGAACTTCCACGGAGAGGAGTACCTCTCGACCTCGTTGGACTGAGCATGTGTGTACTCGTACCGTGTGTGTGCAATCTGTCTGTTGACTGTGCGGAGGTGCGCACCGCGCGTGTCGGTCTGTCGCGCGCCCCTGTACTTAGATCTTACCGGCCACTTACACTACGTCACTTTGAGGCAGTCGCGTCTATCGCGTCGTCGGCGCCGCCTGACTCGGAGTCCACCACACTCTCAGACGTCAGAGTCGCCGCGACGCGCCGCGCGGCCAGGCGCAGCCGCACACACAAAGTTGGGCAGGTCCAGGTGCCAGGTGCACGTCACTCGACGCTCTCGAGAGTACGCTCTCTCTGTCTCTCACTCTGTCAATCTGTCTCTCTCTCTGTCGATCTCTCTCTGTCTCTCTCTCTGTCTCTCTCTCTCGTCTCTGTCTCTCTCTCTGTCTCTCCTCTCTGTCTCTCTGTCTCTCTGTCTCTCTCTCTCTGTCTCTCTGTCTCTCTCTCTCTCTCTCTCTCTCTCTCTCTCTCTCTCTCTCTCTCTCTCTCTCTCTCTCTCTCTCTCTCTCTCTCTCTCTCTCTCTCTCTCTCTCTCTTGCGCACTCATGAGGTACGTTCTTCCCTAGGTTCCTCTTCCATTTTTCGCGTCTAGGTGTTTCGTTGGCGCGCTCCTACCTACCTGCTACCCGTACTCTTCAGGCCCTCTACACGACACACATGCACGACGCGAAACGCAGTACCAGCAACAAACCTATAACAGGAAAACCTCCGCCCCTCCCAGCGGAGATCCAGCTTCTTCAAGCTTCGAAAAACGGTCCGAGTCCCGCGTCCAACTCCCTGTGGGCCCAAATCTGCCAATGGAAACTTGAAGCGCGTGCGGACGGGAGCAATGCAGCGCAACGCCGAGGGCGAGCCCCCATCTCTCGAGTCGCTGCCGACCTCGTCCTCGGGTGCGCTCGCACAGGGTGCAGTCCCGGCGCAACCCGCTCCAACTCCCATCTCTGCCGTACCAGGCTCTCCACTCCCTGAGCACGCCGTGGCGGGCAATAAGCGCCAGCGCGAGGACGATTTTGAGTCTCTCCCGAGCTTGGACGCACTGAAGGATTTCATTCTCCGCGGCGAGATGGTCGACCTGCCGCTGTCGCTTGACCTGCAGGACCTCGCCGAATTCGACGTGCGGGACGACGACGCGCACCAGGCGAGGCTGCGCGACTTGCAGGCCCAGACGAACGACATCTGGCTGCACCACCTCGAGAAGAAGCAGGAGGAGTTCTGGAACGACATCAACAAGCAGGTGCGGCGTCTGCCCTGGGCGAGCCCGCGTTGCCCGCTCATACCCCTCCCCCGCCCTCGCAGTCCATCTCGCACGACGGATTCTACGTCAGCCAAGACTTGCCTCTGGTGCGCTGGATACGCCCCGTTCCCAGCCTGCGTACCACACCGCACACGAGTGGCCGACATCTTCTGAGCTCATAGCCTGTGTGGACTCAGGCGCGAATCAAGCGCGTGATGAAGATCGCATCGTGCTTCAGTCCTCGGGTGCGCATGGCCCTTGAATCCCGCACTTGTCCCGAGAAGGTTGGGTCCGTCTCACCTCTGTTTCTCCCGTGGCTCCCGCGAGCGCAGATGATCGGGGCAGATGCTGCGCCCGCCTTGGCCTATCTGGGTGAGGTCTTTATCCGGTTCCTCACGCGCCGCGCCTGGAACTGGGCGGCCGCTAACGACAGGCCGCCACCAGACTCTGGTCTCCCCCGCTTCTGAGGCTGAGCTAAGCTCTCATCCGGTGCGTCTGCGAGGGGCCATAGGCGAACCCTGCAGTACAAGGACCTCTACGACGCGTGCGCGCCTCTAGATACATATATTCGCTGCTGGCCTGAGGCGAGAGATATCGGTCCTTGGCGCAGCACTCGTACTGCTCAGCGCGCCCTCCACACTGCCTCGATAGGCAGCACACGTGCGAAATGTGCGACTTCCTCATCGACGTCGTCGGAGAGTTTCACGTGCGCTCGCCACATCCACAGTGGATCTCATTGCCCCCCCC